GAAAACACAGAACATTGTTACGATTTTGATCCGATACAGCATAATCTGTCACGACATAGTCACGATTGTAATCCGACTAGACAAAATCGGCTGAGTCTCCCCGAATGTTACAGGACGCACCTATATGTCATAAATTGGTGACTACTCGTTTTACCTCCAAAAGAGCTGGAAACTATTACGACGACCATTTTTGAGGGTGTAGTGTAGCGTTCATAAGTCGTGTAAATTCCCGTTTTCAATCTTTATTTTTTTTTTTTAATTAACCTGGGTGTTGTCCTTAGAGTTTTCGCGGGGATCATTTTACTTGTGATAGACTCGATATCCAGACTTGGATATTTAAACCTCGTCTGGACAATATTTCTTTAGATTGGGGAAACTATTTTATTCAATTCAATTTCAATGTAGTCTTATATATTAATTTATTAATTATTGAAACATGGCTTGGGTTTTAGAGTCAAACATTTCTAAATTTATAGTCTACGTTTCCGTTCTCAAAAAAACAAAGAAAGAATTGTACACTAGCTAGTTAGTTTATGCGTAGTTAATTTTGAAAGAGGTGGGTACATGTTAATACCGATAACAAATCTTCTGAATTGTTTGAGCCTAACTCTGGAATTAAATGTTTTATTATCGCATTGCTTTTAAGGTATGAAAAAGTCAATGCTACTGAATGATGAGTTTCAGACATAGCTCTGGTTGGAACGGGATTTTAAAATGACTTGATTTATTGCAATATTATTTTTACAGGACTGACTTTGGTTCCTTTGGCATGAGATTGCTTAGGTCATGTTTCTGTCTAACAAGGTGAGTGGAAACCAGTTGATGTATTTTTCTCGGAAGTCGGAACGTGTGACGTCTTGAACTTGATCGGTTATTTTTCTTAGAACGACTAGTATACAGTTATTGATATTAAAGTAATCAGTCACGTCTAAAATTGTTAATGTTTCAATTTAGTATTAAAAAAAATTATAACATTAAGGCTAAACACTTTCATCTTACTTGGTTGATTTATTATGTGTTTTTCACACAGGCAACTGTCTCAGAAAAAAAATTCCTGTATACCTTAATATTGTTATATTGAGGTATACAGGACATTTTTTTTCTGAGACAAGTGCCTGTGGTTTTTCACTGCTACAATGTAATGCATCGCCCATTTTTATCCTATAAGGTGAGGTGTGAAAATGTATTGAACATTCACGTTATAAGATTTCATATGGAGATACTGCAATTTTTGTGTTTTAATGTTTTCGTCCATTAAATATAAAACTGTTTATCGATCTTCGTTATTTGTTACGTATGTGCGAATGCATTGCATAACGTATTCGTCAACTCTTTGCATTTTAAGGTTTCTGACACCTGTCATTGGTTTGGCGCAATCGTCGTGACATCTTGCAATTACTAGGTTTCTGTCACCTGTTTTGTGTTATATTGGTGGATTATCAGTATGTTTTTCTAAAAACCTTGGGCGAAAGCACTGGCTGAACACTCTCTATCAGTAACGAAAACAGTTGAGCTCCCAATGTATAATTTCATGAGACAAAAAATGAATGGAATATCCGTTTACAAAAAGCCTTTTACATTGCAGTATACACGTATGACAATAACGCATAAATTACACAGTTTCCAAGTGTGGAATCGGTTGTCCAAAAGATGTGAGAAATGACAGGAAGGATCTAAAAAGGACAAATTTACCAGAAATGCTATGCCATCAACATGATCAAATTATGAAAGTAGCAGACTTGATAAAAGAATATGGCCCAGGAGAGATTGAAATATAGAAGGATTAATTGTCACTTTGGTATTTGTCGCTGCTCGTTTAAGCAGGAAAAACAACAAATGTCATGGCATGTACATGTAGCGGGCTTTTGACGACAGACATATATAACGAACCGGAAGGAAGGTTCACTGTAGGCAATCATCTCCAAAACAGCAAGAATGATGATTGCACTTATATTGATCATGAACAATTGGCAATCGATAACAATTTTACCTAATACACAAAATATCGTGTTTGCAGTGACGTTTTAAACTTCAATACATGTAATCTTTATATAAGCGGTACATTGATTAGTAAAACATAGCACTTATGATACAAATACTTTCATACATGTACCTTCAAAGACATGGCTTGGAAATTAGATTCTACCAGCAAAAGTCTTATTACAAATGGGACATCGTATCCTTATGTTTACTTTGATGATGTTTATAGGGCTCATAAATGTAGAAACGATCCAGGTAAACACATTGATTCTTAAACAAAAACATCGTTAAAATTATTAATTTCCTAATGTAGTAACATGTTTGAACACTGTTCTATTAGTACTAACATTCGTTTTGATTTTAATAGATAAAAGCATAACTTGATATGTAATTCTATACAGTTACGACAAATTATGGTACCATCTCTTGTCGATACAATGTAGTAATACATATTGGTATTTCACATGTTCATGTTGTTTTTAGACTGTGTATGCACTACATCTGTTGTATGGTATATGAATAACATTTAGTATATTTAACTCTGGGATATTCTGGTTTTTCTTATCAGCTGTGATTGGCTGCATATATAAATTAGCTTTGAGGAAAACACGATTATTCTAATAGGGGTACATTGAGTATTTGACTTATTGTTAGTAGTTATTTGGTTTGTGTTTCGAGCCAAACTGTTCAACAGTTAAATATTAATTATTTAAAAAGCTCGGCAAACCTCGCGCTTTAAATATTAAAATTTAACTGTCTCGAGTGGAGAAATATCGTAACACACGTGTTGCAGTGGTGAAATCTATATTTAAGACCCTAAGGCATATACAATTAATTTGTAAGATTCCCATCTCCATTTGTCATGATTTATTTTATTTCATGTTTATCATGTTTATCCCATATCAAGGAAAAACATGTTTACTAGAAATGTGGATGCAAAGTGATGCCAAAAGTTTATATATCTTTCCCTAGTTTGAATTAAAGATAAGCTAAATTTGTCTTATTTTCGGATATTGTATTGTTAGAACATAAATGTCGTTATAATTCATGTTCATGATCTGTATACAGTGCATGGAATGCAATGAGCACATCTGGTTACAAAAACAAATAAAAAAAATAAAGATAAAACGAAACAAGCTAATTTAGATTTTGGGCGCACGTTAACATGCTTAACCTCGATACATTCTGTATGTGCCCGTCTAAAGTCAGAAGCCTGTAATTCAGTGATTGTCGTTTGTTGCTTATATTATATTTGTTTTTTTTTATTGTTTTGAACATAAATCAGGCCGTTAGTTTTCTCGTTTGAATTGCATTACATTAATTTTGTCATTTCGAGGCCTTTTGAAGCTGACAATGCGGTATTGGTTTTGCTCATTGTTGAAGACTGTACAGTGACCTATAGTTGCTAACCTTCTACTTTATTTTAGTCTCTGGTGGAGAGTTGTGTCATTGGCAATCATACTGCATTAGAGATTTGTTAACCGGGTTTTCATAAGACTTGGCGAGTTCTACTGAAACCAAAGGAAATTTGCATTACAAAGATGTGATACAACAAACAGCAGTTGTGCAATGGAATAGCAAGCACCACACATGCACTAAATAAAAGGGACTGGTCAGAACTGTATGTTAGACTAAGAGCCTATAAAATGCCAAAGTTGCTATTTCATTTGCGAGTATACCATAAAATGATATAAAAAAAAGGCAGAAGACACTTCCAAAATTTATAAATCGGAAGAGTTAGCAGATCCTCCTCTACATGAGTGAATATCTACAAATCAGATAATTATGCAAACATGTTAAACCTTGTCGCATTCTTTATGTGCTTGTCCCTAATCAAGAGCTTTTAACTAGCTGTCTGTGAAATTTTTTTCGTTTGTTGTTTTTAGCATATATGTATACATATATATATATATGCAGTCCTGCATTTTTGGGCCTTTGACAACTTACTGTACAGTCTTGGTTTTGTTCATTGTTGAAGGCCGAACGGTTGTGACCTTTGAACTCTGGTGGATAGTCTTATTTGCAACAATATTACTGTTGCTTCATATCAGATGCTTTGTATGTATTAATACGTATATTCGCACATTGTAAACAGGAAAAAGTGCCACGCATTTTTTACATACGTAAAACGTGAGTTTGGAAACGCATGGTAAATGCATATTTCTTACCCCGTATGTAAAACGCACGATTTAAATAGGGGTTATTCGTGCGTTTTACGCATGAAAAATACATGTGTATTATTCATGCGTTTAGGCCTGAAAAAAATGTGATGTACACATGTTTTAAAACCATGCGTTAAACATACGTTTGTAGCTAATATGCGTATAATAAACGTTTCAAAAATTGGTGTAAAACATGTACATGTATGAAACACATATGCGTATAATACATGTTTCAAACTAATCGAAAAATGTTTACTAAATCATCCATAAAACCTATTTGTCATGTTAACTTGTTCATACTCATATATTCCATACAACTAGCATTGATTTTGTTCATTGTTGAAGGCCTTTCAGTGACATATAATTGCTGAAATCCGCTTCTTTTGGAATCTGTTGGATAATTGTCTCATTGGCAATCATACTAAATCTCTTTACGTTATATTGACCACAAATACTTTTGACAGGCGATGTCAGTATAAAATTCAGACCAGACTGGGCTTTTCATCTGTTTTATAAAGGATACTTGTATTTCTGTTTATGCCAGTATAAAAATAAAAACAAATCTGTCATATGATTTTGCTACTGATCACTGTTGAGCAGCTGACCTAATATGAAGTCATTTTGTTCAGATGTATTGGCGTCATATTTGATAATTATCAATTTAATAATCATATTCAAAACATTAAAACTTGGGCCAACAGAATTGCTGACCAAATATGAAATCCAACTGTTAAGCAGTTGTGAGAAAAATCTGAAGGAAATACTTTTTGTACAATTAAATGGACATACAGACAAGTGATTGGCCCCAATTTTAGAGTTGGGGTATAATATGTGACGTGAACAAGTAAATGAGGCATCTTTCTTAATGCTGTAAATTTATTGCTATATATATATATATAAAATATATATGTAAAATTAATTCTTTGGAAACAGTCATTGTCATATTATTATTTCATCTTTTTTCCATCACTTTGAAGAATTCAGGTTTCTTTTACTGAAAAACAAAAAATTATATATGAAAGAATGTATTACTACTTATGCTTATTAGTAGCTAAAAGGTTTCTTGAATCTTTCGATATGGTATCATCTAGTTTTTTATGCATATTGTGTTTCTGTCAACTGTAGTTACAATTGTAAAGATTCAAGTTAAAGTTACTGTAAATGGTTGATGTAGCAGACTTGTATAAAAGTTTGCACACTGTTTTATTTCATATTCTAAAATAATATATAATTTAAAATTTACATCACATGTATGTTTCATTAGAATCCGTACTTTTGATTGGCTGAAAGCAATTGCGAGGCATTCCAAATTCAAATTATATTTTTCAATAAAATTCAACATTCATGACTGAACATGCTTCTCGTGATAACGTCACTACAATGCATAGTTGTCCTTCATTCAAAATGTGCTTCAGTCGACCATCTTTTGACGCTTTTTACACACTTATAAAATTACAAGAAGCTTTTAATTCTTAAATACTCTTAAAACAGATTTACATTTGTATGTTTTCTGCTTAATATATTTTTTATCAACAATGATTTGTCATTTTGAATGTAATTTCCTTTAAGGTAGATTAACTGTTTACCGCCATCTTGGATTGTTAAATAGTACACAATCAGTCTACTACTACTATGGGTTTTTTAACGACCTTGACTACCCATGAGGGTCTCACACGGTCGCATATTCGGTTTAGTTCTTTGCTTAAACCTGCATGTTTTTAAAATAGATTGGCAAGTAAGACTGTTTATCTATAAATAAAGAAAAATAAGAGTTATATTGCATTATTTAGACTGTTTAAACAAATATCAAATATTTGTTATGATTACATTCAATTTTTCAACTCAGCCATTTAAGGGAAGATAACTCGTTTAGTAATTTGTTTACAAAGGAATCTTTTATTCTTTAGTTGAAGCAAGAAAAGAAGTTTGGTGACATCATTTTTTCTTTTTAGATTTTCAAAAAATTACATCAAAATGATAATTTAGATTCAGAAGCAGTTAAATAACACATCATTTGGAGATGACATTGCTCGTGTAATAGAAAGCATTAAGGAGTACCACCAACTGATTCATGAACATACACCAGAGTTGAGGAAAAAGCAAAAATACATTTGTTACTTCGTATGGTGAGATTTGTTTTAGTCCATTTTCTCATAACTTCGAGTTTTGTAATCCATTACGTATAACAAAATTTTAAATCATCGAAAAATTAAGAAGAAACAAATCAAATCAAATCGAACACAAATGTCTTAAAGCCTATTTTTAATTACATATACCATAAGGGTATATGAACTCAAAGTTTAAAAAACAATATCATTTAAATCTTGTGATATAAAAGACTTGGCACATTCTTATTCATAACATAAAGACCAATGAATAATGACTTGACATATTCAGGATTAACATATAGTCATTTGTAAATGAGACAGCACATGTTAATTTTTATTCCACAACAGCATTTACGTCTTAAAATTCAGAAACCAAATTACTTTGACCATGCTAGAGACATTTGTTATCTTATAAGAAAATGACTGAAGAAAAAATATAAAACTAGTTCTACTTGAACATGTTGAATAATAATGAATACTTTTATTTTAGGATCTTTTATTTCTTTCTGAAATTCTTTGCACAACACAAAAAAAATACCATATACCATATGACCAAAATCATGCACAGGGTGCCGTTATAGGGTTACATGTATAAAGCATGCCGAAACATTTCACCATTTTTTTTAAATGAACATGCAGTACATGGAGTTATAACCATGATAACACCTAACACTTCATTATACTAAGAAGGGTGTAAAATCTTAAAAATATCAATATATAAATTTATATTATAGGTTGAAGATGTTCAAAGACATTGGTCAACAAAAGCATACGCAGAATATGCAATTGAAAAAAAACATAGATATATTAAAAGCATGATGTTTTTTTACAGAACCAAAAAGTCGGGAGAAGAGACAGTTGTATACAGTTTTCAAAGCAGAGCTGATCCAGCATATCATATATGGAGGATACTTTGAAATAGGAACTGTTTGGTTAGTTAAACTTAATAATTGAAAACAGTGTATAATAAAATAAAACGTGATATACAAAGGTAAGAAATAAAACTGTATTAAACTATTTAAACCATAATCATTTGCACTTTAAATTGATCACATAACTACAATGTAGTTAACAAGTAATGAATTCTTGTATTGTAATTTCAAACTGTTCCAGACGAAACCTTACACCAATTAATCCTAGTCTTCTAAAATATTCTAAATGTTTCAGACAATATAGCATTTACTTGGAAGACAGTGATGAGCAGAATATCCATGTTCTTTCAAACTCAGATCTAATGCGTTGTAGCTGTTAAATGTCCTTTTGTGTTTAAAACCATAGATAATTAATAAATTTAAATATAATTAAATTAGGTATTTAAATGCTAACATGATCCTGCAGTGAACACTTGTGTTTTTTTATTTGTTTGTTTTTTTGTATATTTATATAATGGTGGAAGTATTAATGTATACGAATGTCCGTCCATCTGTCAATCAGCACTTCATACAATAACTCTAGTTTGCTTCAACCAATTTTCATGTACTTCAAAAGATTAACGGAAGAAAGCTCCCGTAGATCTTGAAATGTCTTTGCTATTTCATTCCAGTTATGGGACTTTAAACATTTGAATAAAGGTATTTTTTTCACATTTTGCGCACTAACTCTAGTATGCCTGCAGTGGTTTCCTCAAAACTAAACATTATTTTGGGGATTTAACAGTCATATTTAACACAATATTTAAACGTCTAAAGGTATCCTAGTATGAACATAAGAAGATGTGGTATGATTACCAATGTGACAACTGTCAGGCACAGACAAAATGACATAGAAGTTAACAATGAAAGGTCACCGTAGGGCCTTTAACAATGAGCAAAACGAAAACGTTGAAAAAAAAGTTTTCAAAAATACCTTTTATGGTGATAAATATATGTAAAACATGCGTAAAGCAAATATATTTTCCCTGCGTATAAACAAACTAATGTTTTACACACCAGATATTTTTCATGCGTTTTATAACGCATGTTAAAAATATGTTATTGAACAACTGTTATGTGCATGACGGAAAAAAACGTGCGTTAAACGCACATAAAACATAGTTTTACACACTTTTTTTTTACATGCGTAAATCATGCGTGGCACTGTTTACTGTGTAAAAGAGAGGCGAAAGATACCAAAGGGACATTACAACTCGTAAGTCGAACATAAACTGTCAACTTCATTGCTAAGAAAGAAAAAAGACCACAGACAAACAACAGTATACAAAACACAACATAGAAAACTAAAGACGGACCAACAAGAACCCCACCATGAACCGGGGGTGATCTCAGGTGCTCAGGAAGGGTAAGTAGATCTTGCCCCACATGTGTCACTTGTCCTGTTGCTCATGTAAGTACATGTTAAATAGTACGGTTTTTTGTATTTTCCGTTTTACGACATTTGAATTGGAAAAAGAAATAAAATTCAGCCTCTGATTGTGTTATCTCTGTTAAAAAAAAAATGGTTTTTAACTTGTAGGTCTTTTTGAAGCATTTACAATTATTTTGGATTGCAGTGTTCCTGAAGATGGCCAAGAGTTTTGGACCCAACCCATTCGTTTTCATTCGTCGTCATTTACGTTCAAGATCAAGTTGTGAAATTCAAAATTGTATAAATTTTTGAGAGCACAGAAAATGCATCTGCATTAAACTTCGGAGCACTTTGTACACAGCTGTTGCACAAATCTGAATATAGAAAATATAATATTTGAAGACAATACATACTTTGTTCAAAAGAAAGTTTGTATGAACTGTCCTTAAATCTTTCTGTATATTGCACATCAAACCGCTCATTTTGTGCTACTGTAAAATGGTTTTTCCAGTCTCCTATTTCCCCTGAAACAGATTATTTAAGAAATGAATACTTCTTTTTGTAATTCTATTGGAGAATAGAGAAATAAAATTGAGCTATTTTTAGATGCATGTTTATGTTAAACCATAATGTCTTTGGGACAATGTTATCAAAACAAAATTTTGAAATAACCTTCGTGGTTGTCACCGTTTTGACTTATGTATTGGTAGTAATTGTAATGGTCTGTTAAACAAGTTAGGTGGATTCACATTTCAGCAAACAGTCGGCATTCAAGTAAGTATTTACTTGGCACCCCTGATGGCAAATGCAGGTTTAATTTGATATGGAGCAGAATCCATGTTATAATTTTTCAAATAAAGACAAAACGAAAAAGCATTTTGCAAGTTTTTAAGCTTCACTTTCAGACATATAGATGATGTCATATTACTTCATAACCATCTTTTCAGCAAATACATGTACACATATATCATACATCACAGTGCGCTTGACATTAAGGATACTATTGAAAATATAATACCTTCTTCCTATTTAGATTTCTGTCTTGAAATTGACGTTAAACTGGGATTTAATACAAACGTGACGATTTTAGTTTTCCAATTACCAACTCCCAAATTATCATCTCAGCACAGAGTAGTAACAATCCATCTGCTCTATTGAGTTGCATTTACAATAACTTAGTAATTACCGTATGGAGTTTGGTTAATGTATAACTTTAACATGATTGCAAAAACACTGCATATTTTTTTATATGTCCTATTTAAATTATATTACCCTTTCTATATATGAAGCCTTTTCCAGAAATTACTTCCGTCATATCTAGTTTATTTTTCTGCATATGATTAAAGGATGTTGTTTCAGCAATATTTTCTATTATCTTTTCGGTGCACGGTATTCCTAAGAAGTTAGCCAATCGCTGTATCTCTCCTGTATTATCCTTAACAGAAAAAAATTAAACTTCATTAGAGCTAACATATTGATACCACGTTACCTTACCTGTGTAAAGTCCATGTTTTGCTGTAGAATGATATCAATTAAATAGTAATTTCAAATAAAACGTCATTTAGTTTCTTGTGTTTACTTATTACATTGACAATCAAACCACACCATTCTACTAAATCTGTTTGTTTGGCAAGAAAAAATAGTCCTCTTGTGTTGAATCACCTGCTTGAGCCATTCGTCACAACTCGGCCGATTCCGGAGAGTAGCGGATTCACCCGATGATTGCCGATTGCTGCTTGAGCTATAGATAAGAGCGGCAGTAACTAGGTGTAAAAAGATTTTGGCGATAATATTAAAAAAGAAAATGCACATAATTGAAATGATTGTTCAACCTTTTTCATTTCTTCGAAATAGCAATTAAATATCATGCCGGGAAAATCTTTCTCTGCTTGTTCCATTTCTTTCTCATAATTGTACCATGATCCATTTGGACCTACAAGTGAAGAACAGAATTGTGACAAATAAAATATACTGATAAGAATCAAAAACATTCTTAGATACATAGAAATGAGAAAATATTCAAATATAAGGAAAACAAAATAAGAAGAAATGTTCTACAAAATAAAAAAAAAAATCTAGTATATTTTTGTAGCCGTACTGGAAAATTTACAACACATAGATAGAATAGTCTTATAAAAGTAAGAAGATGTGGTATAATTGTCAACGAGGGAACTCTCTACCAGAGATCAAATGGTATAGAAGTTAACAACTATAGGTCACTATACGGTCTTCAACAATGAGCAAAACCCATACCGTATAGTCACCTATAAAAGGCCCCGAAATGACAAATGTAAAAAATTCAAACGAGAAAACTAACGGCCTGATTTATGTAAAAAAACAATGAACGAAATAAAAATATGATATACAGCAATACACGACAACCACTGAATTACAGGCTCCTTACTTGGGAAAGACACATACAGAACTTGGGACAGACACATACAGAACTTGGGACAGACACATACAGAACTCGTGACAGACACATACAGAATGTTGCGGGGTTAAACATGTTAGCGGGCGCCCAAACCTTCCTCCTTACCGCGTCCTAGTATCACGACTATCCTAATTTTGATATGTTTATTCACAACAATTTCTGAAGTAACTGCCTAATTATATTTCTTTAAGTAGAGTTCCAATTGTGAAAAAGGTTGTTGTAGATAAGTTAAACCTATTTTGATTTTTCCGGTTAAATTATAAAGTTATTTTCCTTATCCCCCCTCCCCCCCTCCCCCCCCCCCCCCCCCCAAAAAAAAAAAAAAAAAAACAACAAAAAAAAAACAAAAACAACCCAACATACAACCCTTACAGTCCTTTGCCCTTTGTTCCACGATAATACGTCAAGTAAAATCTAACATGTTGTATTTCCGACTTAATACCACATAGGGTGATTTTCTTCAAATTAAAGTGAATTTGAAATATAAACAAAATGTGACGGACGGGGGCGTGAGGAGCTTGTTAACAAAATTTTCATAAGGTAGCATTTATTTTAAGTTCTAAGTTTGTTTTTTTTTTTGTTTTTTTTTTTTTTTTTCAATTTGTAAAAAATGTTGTATCTACTTCAATAATATGACAAAGGTCCCTTGTCATTTTGGTAATATCAAGGCATTCCTTGCTTTTCTTTTCTGCCAATACATAAATAGTGTTTATGAGGCGCTTCATGTAATATGTCTCGGAAGCTGATAACAAGTTATCTTTACATATAACAGACGTTTGATGATTCCTCGGGTAATTTAATAAAATGTAAGGTGCATTCAATGTATAAATTTTCAGAAGTTAACTCTATTTCTAAATAAAGAAGAATGTGTCTAAGGTCACGAATGACCCCGCTCAAACTTGCTTAATATAATATGTGAAAACATTTTTGGGAAGGACACTTAATGCCCCCTTCACCTAGCAGGGGCGGATCCAGCAATTTTTAAAAGGGGGTTCCCAACCCAGGATAAAAGGGGTGGTCCAACTATATGTCCCCATTCAAATGCATTGATCGTCAAAAAAAAAGGGTGGGTTCCAACCCCCGGAACTCCCCCGGATCCGCCACTGCCTAGCGGTATGAGCATAAAAAGTAAGAATGTGTGTAAAATTTGCTAAACCACAATCAATCAAAATAAGCTGCAAGGTATAAATGTATAGAGAGGATATATTAAAGTGTATTTCTATTTTTCTAAATACTTTTTACTACTTGTTTAACTGTCGAAAGATACCGTCATTCGTTATCCACGGTTTATGCAAAATTCATGCTATAATTAAAATATTTTGAAAATTGGCGTTTAAGATATTGCCATCAAATTTTTGGTGTTATTGTAGCTGAGACATCATAATTATTGCTTACATTTTCTTTCTTTAAAAGTATTAGAAAAATATGGATTATTTTAAATAAATGTAAAGACAATGTGTTTCTTTTTTTTTAATATTGTTTGATAAATCGTTTATTCAAATTTCCTCAGTTATACCGTATCCCTAAGCAGCCCAACAAAGCATACATTGGGAGCCTTGTGCTATGAAATTTTGCATTTTCCAGGAAAACATATGGTAGATTTTAATGAAAACGAAATCTGAAAATTACAAATTAAATTTTACTCCAATGGTTCATCTCTTTAATCAGGTTTTACATACTAGATACACAATTAATTATATAATCTAAATACCTGGTGTTACGCTTAACATCTCAAGATTGTGTGGTTCTTTTTTCAGATTTTGTATGTTGGTAACTTACATTTGTCTGACATCCACATTTCGAAAAAATCATCCCAGGTTCCAGTAAAGTCCAGAAAGGTGTCACTCTTTGCGTGATAATAAAACGAGACACAGACATCTTTCGGGTTTCTAATCATATGAATAATCTTGCATCTATTTTCGATATGCTGCATTGGTAGATATTTAAATGAGTAATGAGTATTAAGTAACCTTGGTGATGGCAGTGCATCTAAGACTGAGAGATCGGGAATAACTTCTAACATCGTCGAAACTTTGGTAACGGTATCCAGATCTGTTTTGTTTCTTATTAACATATTGGTAACTTCGTAAACCCAATGCGTTCCTTTGGAGAAAATACACAGGAAAATTAACAACTACGAATACAGGTGTTACATGTATTAAATGCAATTCATATGATACGAATACGGGTATTTGTTCTCTAAATTTCTTTTGTGTTTGTTAAGTTGTTAGGTGACTGACTACTGACAAATACCGTGCAACTTCTTTTAAATAAAAAATAAAAGATTATAATGAATATGGGTGATTAATGACTGTAACATTTAAGTGGTTAGAACATCCGCATGTTGACATTGAATAGATACTTAGAAACCAGGTACTGCTATAAATACTGGTGTAAACAGAAAATGTTACATTGTAAATACTTTTTTTTTAAATCAACTCTGCACGGTGAAATGCGCATCTGGCACTTGTGCATCAAAATTGGTACCTTTTATATTATTACTACCACTGATGTTAGTCCCCGAGAGTATTACCAGCCCAGTAGCCAGTACTTTGGTTCTGGTATGAAAATACGGAAATTGTTTTGATTGAAATTTATTGTTATAAAATGTTAGAAATCATTTAAAATTAAGGAATATATCTCCCTCATGTAACGCCTTGATTCCTTGTCCGGTTTTGGCTATACTGTAGGTCGTTTAATTTGATCAGCTTTTCTACGTTTGTATTGGGTTTTTGATTTTCAAATATTTTGGCCTCGAGTATCACTGAAGAAACATAAATTATCGAAATGCGCATCTGGTGCAGTAAATTAGGACCGTTTAATTATTGTATAATTCTCGAACGCATACTCACATTTATGACGTTTTAATATTGTGCGCACACAATTGTCGTACTAGTGTTTTATGAAATAATGCGAGTTTATTGTTTTAATGCGAGACATTTTCAACAGTGTAAAGAACATCCGCATTTTATCGATTTGATGATTAACAATCAGTTATGACAGGATTCTAGCAGAACAAATAAAACTGTGCATCCTTAAAATTGCATTAAATTTACAAAGTTATCGTACATGATTTTATTGCGTATAATATATTAATATAATGAATTTGGAGATATATAATGGGGTTTACTGGACAGTGACAAGTAGGCTAAAACTAACTAATGCAGTAAAATAGGTCATTCAGATACAGAAAAGAGAATGATGGGCAAAAACAAAGAATGAAGAAAAAATGCCTAAAAATTACAAAAAACGGAAATAAAGACAAAGTGAATTTAACTTATGACATGTACATGTATGATAGGTTAGTAATAGTATGTGATTTTCAAATGGTCGGGAAAAGCTTTTATTTAACATATTATAAGCTATTTTCTTACATTTTGATTCATTTGATTTCGTGGGTACCAATTTTCGTGGATATTACGGAAAACTTGAATTTTTGTGGATATTTGATTTCGAGTTTTAACATACTCCTCATACATTTCTTTGCATTTGCAATTCGTTGAACGTTTAAATTCGCGGTTCTCCTGTACCCATGAAATCCACGAAAATTTTTACCCAACTAATAATAATGAATCAAAATATGGTGCATTAATAATACTACCTGATTTTGGATATGTGCAGATCATAATATCTGATTTTCTAGACTGAATTTCCGTTATGTCTTGTATAGCTTTCTCTATCCCCTTTTCTCTGATTACATTGAAAGCTGGAAATCGTACCCCTTCATACTCTGGTAATGGAATCGGTTTCATGGTATTTCTCAGTTCCTTGAGTTTTTCCAAATTCAGATCCATCATTTACAAAACTTTAAAATGAATAAAAGCAGACTTTTGGTTGCATTTGTTCTCTTTTGTGGAGAGTTGCCTCATTGGCAATCCCATCACATCTTCTTATTTTCTTTTTTAATTGCATTTCATACAAAATAAAAATTGCATTAAATATCTCCGAAAATAAAAATATAGAAAACGTAACAAAATGTTATTGCGCCAGATGCGTAAGATGCATTTTCACATATAAACTGTTATTGTCGTAGCCACAATTCCTTCCTCTTTTCCTTGAATCTGACATCAGCGAACGGAACTTTCCACCGAATCTGTACTGACCATCAGCAATACGAATTGAGCTACATGTCTGGACCTTTTATAGCTGACTATATGGTATGGGTTTTTCTCATTGTAGACCTATAATTTCTTACAACTACGTGTTTGGAACACTCGTCGATAGTTTTCTCATTGCCAATCATACCGCAACTCCGTATTTTCATATCATGCATATCTGGGAGCCAGTAGAAAAATAAGAGGGTTTGTTTTTGCATGGCCCAGCTATATTTACAGAGTGACCTATACAGAGTGTAGTAAAAAGTGTAAATTAAGAAATTTATGAGATATTCTATGTTGCACAAATTGTGACGATATAGGTCATTAAGATATAAACTCGTACTCGTATTTTCCATTCTCAATTCTATTTGAGTATGATGGCATTATTCGTATGCAGCATTTCCTACAGTCGAAATGATTAATATTGCATTGCTGTCCGTTGTTCAACTATCGCAATAACCTATTTTTATATTCGACAGGATACCTACTCTGTGGTAGGACATCCTGGTACTCGGTCAAGTAAGAGCAACATAAAGATTTAAAACAAAGCTTTCAATCGGTACAATGTTTGGGGGGAACATTAACTGTTTCATGTTTTCTATACACGCGACAAAATCATCGAAGAAAATTAAACTTTCCTCCCAAATTGCACCGATTATATATTTGATTTTACTTCTTTTGGTTGCTCTTACTTGACCGAGTACCAGGATGACCTACCACAAAGTAAGTAGTCTGTCGAAAATTTATAGTATCCGGAGTCAAAAGTCGGTAATATGAAAAACGTCTATTATAAATGCACCCGAATACATTTCTGAATTTACAGGTTTACTGTAACATGTGTAACTACTTCCTTGTACCAAACATACATTTGTTAAATTCCGAAATATATATTTTTTTCAAGATATTATTCTATGTTATCTATATATAAAAATTAATGGAATTCTGTAAATGATACTCACTTGAAACGAACTTTGAAAACCACTTTGATTTTTACACACTTTATATGTAAACCGTGTGCGCGTAGTAGTAAATAAGATAAATCTAGCTACGATCTTACGATCTACCTTATGAACTTTCAACTTTTGTTAAATATATAAATAGTTATCTCATTGTAATGTCTTACTGATATGTTTTCTTTAAATTTCAAATTAAAGCTTTTGCACTTTTTTCTTTCAACATGTTCATGTGTGTACATGGTTTACTATGCATCGTTCCACCTTTAAACTGTATTTTGTACATGGTAGTGAATATTTATAAATGATGAATATACACTTAGGCATTACATTGTAGTACGTTGCAAATATATAGTCTATGGATACTTTGTGTGAGTTTTTGTGGGTTTTTTTTAATGGGTAAATAACTAAACCTAATTTGTTACAATCATGACAATACTAGTAGTTACCTGTTAAAAACAGTGCTGTAAAACGACAAACACTTGTATTTCGATACAGTCTATCAGGCATTCATTATGTAAACAACATGTGTACTGATAAAACCACACTATTTTACGGAAGCCATTTAGGACCTTCCAAAAATATAATTTGAATTCGAGATCACAAATTCAAATCGTTAATTATCACGAATTGTATAATTCGTTATCACAGATTAAATTCGTGATAACGTAATATCGTAAAAGTAATATAACAATGTTGTTACTATTTTCAATCATTCTAAGGGCAACAGCTCCAACAACATCAACTAAATGTTCCCCAATAAATCTTAGACTAATTTTTCAAAAATATGTTCAAAACTGTTCTACTTAGAAGATGCAGTTCCTGTGTTTGGCGTTACAACATTAATTTCCATCGTCACCAGATTATCAATTTCAATAACAAAGAAATATAAATACCAAAGCACTTAGAAATCATATCACATTTAATGATACTTTCAATTTCTAAATAACCCCGATTTGGACCTACTAGAAAACTGGGCCTATAATTAAAAACCTAAATACATGTTTAGATTCATCATATCAAAGAACCCCAATAATTCGATCATTTTTTTTTATGAAATCAAACAAAGTTTAATTTTGGAACCTTTGGACATCAATGTGGACCAATTTAAACATGGGGCCAAAAATCCAAAATCTTAATACACGGTTAGATTCAAGAACCCCGGGAATTCTTTTTTTTTTTTTAAATCAAACAGCTACGATAGACTCTTCACTTTAAGTCAAGTCCACCATTGATCCAAAAAGTGTAACAAAATTTCATAGAAATTATATTATTTGTCTCCTATTTCTCAAAGATTACTTAAAGAAAAAGAAAAACCAACAGCATAAAAAAACCTAAGCAAACCAAACTAACCGAATCAATTAAGATATATCATGAGACAACTATATATTTTTTTTTTTTAACATAATTAAATATTTATTTCAAATATTGGCTTGTTACAATATCCTTCAGGAGTCCAAGCTCCTCCTGATGTTCCCTGTTACAATCCACTAATCACTCAGGGTAGTGCTTAGTTGTAAAATACATATTACATTTGTATATCAAATATATATTAAATAATATCACTTAATATGACTATTCATATGTTTTCTAATAGTTGCTAAAATATTACTTTTAATTTTCAAACATACTCTTCTATTGAACTCATTGAGAAAAATTAAGAAAACATTGACATTTTTTGTCTTTTGATCAGATATGTAATAGGCTTTGTAAATTGAAAAGCCAACAATCGTTAAAAAATAGTTAAAGTCAAAATATTCTTCGTCAAAAGTTTTATATCCAAATACCAAGTGTCTGAGTTTTATCTTAAAAGTTATTTTACTGTTCTTTAAAACTTCATTTATTTTATTCCAAAAAAGTTTTAAATACAGACACAGTATAAAGTAGTGATCATAATCCTCTTCTTGTGTACAAAAATTACAAGAACTATTGTTTACAATTTTCCACCTGCATAAAAGTTTCTTTGTAGGTAGAATATGTTGTAGTAATTTCCATCTAAAAATTCTAAGTTTATTTTCTTTTAAATATCTGAATAAAAATTTATATAAATTGTTTTGATATAACACATCATCTATATCAAATATACGCAGCAATTTTTTTGGTCCGATAGCTGGTTCAAATTTTTTATTTATCAGAGACTTATATAAAAGTTTATTTGTTAGTGATTCTAATTTTATAGGTAAACCTTCCAATATAAATTGGTTTCTTTTTATATTAACAATACTTTTTACAGAATTTTCCGATTTTAAAATTGCTGCCCAGTCTTTTGGTATTGATTTCTTTACTAAATTAATTTCAGCTATCCAGTTTGATTTATTTTTTAGTTTATTTGAAATTATGTCTTGAGAAATACAGCCTTATTCATTCTATGATATCATTTACATAAATAAGATCGCTTTCAATCCAATTTTTTAAAAATATAGCTTTATTTTCAAATTTAATAAATTTATTGTTCCATAATATTTGTTTTCTTATATCTGTAAATGTTTCTGGTTTTTTTGTTAGACCTCCACCAGTTAATTTCCAACATTTAATGATATCTTTATAAAAATCTGGGATGTGTTCAATGCTTTCTTCTGGCTTATCCCCACTGTTTGTTTGAAACACTAACCAGTTTGACCCAAAATTATAAAAATAGTGCTGAGGTATAATTTTCCAACCTCCTTCACAATCATTTACTAGTCTTTTTACCCACATAGCTTTTAAAGCAGTGAAATAACTCCTTATATCTATCATATCCAATCCCCCCTTTTTATAGGGACCAATAATTGAATTTCTTTTTACTTTATCTGGTTTATTATCCCAAACAAATTTAAAACAACTTTTTTCTATTTCTTTTAAATATTTCTCTGGGACTATGCAGGCAGATCCCACAAAAGAAAAAATGGGCACAATTAGTGTTTTGATAATTAAACTTTTTCCAAAAATAGTAAGATTTCTTTTTTGCCAAGCACAAAATAATTTATTCATCTTTTCAATTTTATTTTCCCAATTTAGTTTTTCACATTCCTCTCTACAATGCCCAAAGTACATACCAAGAGTTTTAACTGGTCCATGTCTCCAGTTGATTCCCTCAATTTTGTCTTTACATGATTTAAGCTTTCCTACCCATAACCCCTCTGTTTTATTTCTGTTTAATTTCAATCCTGAATAAGAACCAAAAAATTCAATTTCGTTCATAGCAACTTGAACATCATATTTAGAACAACAAAATAAAGTAGTATCATCTACTAGTTGCGAAATTTTTATACTATGATTTTTGCAATCTAATTTGATTCTGATACCTTTAAAATCAGTATTGCTTCTTAATCTTGAAGCCATAATTTCCACAGATAAAACAAATAATAATGCAGATAAAGGACATCCTTGGCGTATACCCCTGGTGTTTTTAAAGACATCAGATATCCAACCATTATTCATAACACATGTTTGAATATCGCTATATAAAGTCTTAACCCATCTGATAAAAGATTCATTAAATCCAAAATGTTTTAAAACTGAAAAACATAAAATTCCATTCTAGAGAGTCAAACGCTTTAGAAAAATCAACAAAGACTATAGCCCCCTCAATATTGTATAAATCAGTGAAATCAATAATATCTTGTATCTGTCGAAGATTAAAACCAATAAATCTATTCTTTACATTTCCAGTCTGGTCTTCTTTAATAAGTTTTGGTAAGATTTTTTTCAATCGTTGTGCTAGAGCGTATGATAGAAGTTTCATGTCAATATTTAAAAGAGAAATAGGACGGTAATTATTTAGTGACAATGGATCACCTTTTTTAAATAATAGCGTTAATACACTTGTACGCTGTGAGTATGTAAGTGTTTGATCTTTATATCCAATATTAAGATTGTTTACTACTATGAACTTTAATTTATCCCAAAATTTTCTATAAAATTCAACTGTTAAACCGTCTAATCCAGGGGATTTATTAAGTTTCATTTTATAAATAGCATATGAGCATTCTTCTACTGTAATATCCCCATCGCAGAGTGATTTATCATTTTTATCCATTTCTTTCTCGAGTTTTGTCTCAAATATATATTTATCACTTGATGTTTTATCAGGGCTTTTCGTCGAGTATAACTTTTTATAGTATTCTTTAATACTACATAGTATATCACTGTGATCCGTTAAAATCTCATCATTTTCCCCTTTTAATTTATTGATTGACTTTTTTACCTGTCTCTGTTTTTCTAAACCTAAAAAGTACGAGTTATTTTTTTCCCCAAATTCAAACCATTTCTCTCGTGATCTTATTTGAGCCCCTTTAGCCTTTTGTTCGTAAATTTTGGCAATATTATTTTCAAGTTCTTCAATATCTTTATCTAAATAATTATTCTCAGATTCTTGCTCATCTCTAATTTTCAATTTTATTTCTAATTTTTTTTCAAGAGTTCGTAAGTTTTCTCTTGTAAATTTTGCTTTAGATTTACAATACGCTATAGTTGCCTCCCTTACCTTTATTTTAAATATATCCCATGCTAAACCAAGGTTTTTTAAATTACGATTACTCATAAAGCAGCTTTTCATTTCTTTATTAACTAATTGTATGTAGTCATTATCTTCTAATATATAATTATTTATTTTCCAGTACCCCCTTCCCTTTTCTGATGCACCAGTTCTAAATTTCATTAAAACACTTTGATGATCCGTACAATCAATAACTGCAGGTTTAATTTTACAACATTCTACTAGTGGTATGAAGTCTGAACCTATCAGAATCATATCAATCCTACTTGCCTGAGATTTATCTTTTCTTCGCCAAGTATATTGTTGTTTATTTTTATTTTAATATCTCCAAATGTCTGCTAAGTTATTATTTTTATTAAAGAATTTAAACTATTTACTGATTGAATATTTTTTACCTCTGAACGAGTATTTTTTCTGTCTATCGCTTGCATCGTATCATTGAAATCAATTTATACATTAAGAAGAACTAATCGTCCATCTACGTCGGTATGTTTATTTATCAATTTATAATTCAGTGACTTTTTAATGAGAATAGCCACACCCCTACTAGAGGTCGTTCCGTGACTGCAAAATATATTAAATTCTGAATTATTTCTTATTTCTGTTTCTATGTTTTCATCAAAATGAGTTTCTT